TTTATTAAATACAACTATTTTATTAGATAATTAAAGGGTGAAATACAAGACCTTGATTTACCAGCTCACTGCATGTTAAGGAAGAGTTTAGAAAGTGCAATGGTTCATCTTACATTTAGTTCCAGTTTATAAAAACTGTGAAATAAGTCATGTTTTGACTTTGACTTTTGTCAGTTTTTGGTCTTGTTCTTTTGTTTTATAGTTTTATTTATTTTTTTCAGTCCCTGATGATTTATGTGTGTGTCTGAGTGTGTATGAGAGTTGCCCACGTATCTGAATACATACACATATATCTCTTTATTTATCTGTCCTGCCCTGTCCTGTCAGCCCAACAGGTTAGGGAAACTGGCTGAGCAGGTACTGTGTGATAAGAGTGGCTGTTTGCTCTGCTGCTTGGTCTGTCTGTTTCTGTGTGTTCATGTTTGTCATTTATTTTGCATGAAGTTTTGTCATGCTTAGCCACAGTTCACTATTTTTTTTAGCACTTAGCTTGTTTTTTTTTCTCTTCCCGATGAGCTTCAGCTTCTGTATCGCTATTTATTTCAGCCGAGTCCTGCTTCTATCAGCTGGCTCCTGATCATTGCTCTACAGCAGGTTTAGATACATGATCCACACATTATACAATGAGCTGGCTGCACGAACTCTGCTGCGACTCAGTAAATTAGGGTATAATCAGTAGAGTTTATGTCGTACTTTCATACTTCAATCCACAATATTATACAAACTAACAGGGCATAATTGTTTGTGTGTCTTTTTATTCAGTTTTTAGGATATATAAATGTTTTTCAGCTTTTTGAACATATTTAAAATTTACCATATTTTGTTTTTTATCTTGTTTTCAGTATATAGACTAATGAATTACTTATGTATGTTCTGAGGAACCTTTATGTTACTGACAGGTGGTCGTTCAGATAGACGTGCTCTGCTTAGTAAACTGAATCCTGCTTTCTGTGTTTGGCTGTGACTCACAGACCTCGGTGCAGCAACTCATTGCTGGCTTGTGCTCTGGCTGTAGACTGGCAAAGCGAGTGATGGAAAACATAATTTGTTGTGACCAGTCTCACAGCAGTAATGATGACAAATCCCACACAAAGGGATCTATATCTGACAGCTGTAATCAGCACTTGAAAAATGAATCCCTTAGAATTCAGCTGCACTGAATTGATGTTTAGACTTTGAGTCATTTTTTATAAGCATTATTATTTAGAATTTAAATAAATGTTCCAGGTTTTCCCACAGAGCAGGTGATGGAGGTATTTGTGTTTACATGGCCCAGGTTTTGCCAGAGTCCTAACTATCGCAGCCTGGCTGGTTGGCTTCTGGCTGCCCCTTGCTTTGTCAGCAGTAGTTTCATAATCAGCTTCCAAACCCCACTCCACTTAAGCAACATGCAGCGTTAATGCCACAGCTGTAGCACGTAGGTTATTGGCTCATATCTGGATCTGCTTGTTTCTTTCTTTTTTCCCCAGGGTACAGCTGGACCAGATCCCACCACAGTTTATGTGGACATGAGAGCACTACGGCACGATAGGTGGGAACACTGTAACAGTATGCATTCATATACATGCATTTAAAACATGACCCGACTTTGAACTAATTAGTACTCAAAGTTTTTTTCTTTCCTTTATTTACGTGTCATATTTACAAAAACAGTGGATATGACATTGCTCACTTTGTCTTTTCAGGGTTCGCCTGGTTGAGAGAGGGTCACCGCACAGCCTGCCACTGATGGAGTCTGGAAAGGTACGGCCTAATTTAAAACTAAGAACTGAAACACAGCAACATAGTGTGTAACGCTGCTGCTTCCAGGGCTTTTTTTTGTTAATTTGAGTCCTGGCTGTCTGCTGCTGTAGATCCTCCCTGGAGTAAAAGTCATCATTGCAAACACGGAGACTAAAGGACCCTTGGGAGACTCCCATCTAGGAGAGGTGAGTTGGTTTTTAAGAGAGCAGAGCTGTCAGTCAGTCAGTCACTCTTCTGTGTGCTTAAAGGGAACCTGTTGTGCTTGTTTCCATCTCCAGATTTGGATTTGGATGATTCACAGTTTAAAATAATCCATATTTATCTTATACTAGACCTCGGTGAAGTCCCTCAGTCCATCCACTCTCTAAGGCAACCTCTAGACAATAAGAAAAACCACTTATTATTCAGTCCCCTTTAAAGCAGGTTACAGTCGCTTTCTGCAATAACCTAAAAACATCTTAGAGTTAAGGTGTTTTGTTTTTTTATTTTTAGCAGCAGAATTCATTCAGCACAGTAGAAGCAAATGTCTATTTACATATCAGTGCTGCTTTTTAAAACATCTTGCTGAAATTTGTGTAAAAGCTACACAAAGTGACCTTTTAGGCTGAACAGCAGTTTAATGTTAATGTGATTAATTTACTTGGCTTTTGTTTTTTTTGGAACAAGTTTGCAGGGGTACTTTCAGCTTCTCCCTTATTTCAAGAGGTCACCACAACAAATAGATCTGTATGTTGATTTGGCACCGATTTTATACTTGATACCCTTTAATGGGATCAGCATGAGGAATACGCAGCTTGTGACTCATCATATTGGGTTTGTAGCGCCTCAGAACTTTGACCAGAAGAAAGAGCAAAGTGTGTGCTTCTGAATGTAACAGTCACCAATTGTAACTAATATGTGTATCAGATCTGGGTGAGCAGTCCCCACAATGCCACAGGATACTACACAGTTTATGGGGAGGAGGCGCTGCATGCTGACCACTTCAACACCAAGCTGAGCTTCGGGGACACTCAGACAGTCTGGGCAAGGACCGGCTACCTGGGCTTCCTGCGGCGCACTGAGCTGACAGATGCCAGCGGAGGTGAGTGACCAATGCTTAGTCTAACTTAAAGTCTGCAATCTTTCCACGGAAAGCTAATTTAAGTATTTTCTAGCATCAAAACATAAACTGAACAGTCTGACTGTGGGTGTTTGTGTGTCTCAGAGCGTCACGACGCCCTCTATGTGGTGGGCTCTCTTGATGAGACTCTGGAGCTGAGGGGGATGAGGTATCACCCAATTGACATCGAGACCTCTGTTATCCGTTCTCACAAGAGCATAGCTGAATGGTGAGAAACCTACAACACCTTTAGTCGCTAGTTGTCAATATGACAACAGAGATTTATTTACTTGATCAATTTTAAAAATGACGAAGAAATATGAATTCTACATGACTGCTCTGTATTTACTTTCATCCACCATCCTCCTCCTCCTCTCTCCAGTGCGGTGTTCACATGGACCAACCTGCTCGTGGTGGTTGTAGAACTGGAGGGATCTGAGCAGGAGGCCCTCGACCTGGTGGCCCTGGTCACCAATGTGGTCCTGGAGGAGCACTACCTCATCGTGGGGGTGGTGGTGGTGGTAGACCCCGGCGTCATCCCCATCAACTCCAGAGGGGAGAAACAACGCATGCACCTCAGAGATGGATTCCTGGCTGACCAGCTGGATCCCATATATGTGGCTTACAACATGTGAGGAGCTAATTGTGGCAGGGTTGACCCCCACTACTCTATGTGGCTTTATGACACTACAGGAGACAGCAGGACAAGCATCTACAGGGGCTTGTAGCAGTTGCAGGCTCGATCTCTGGATGGCTTCGGTTGTGCAAAAGCGATCTGCCCGCTTATTTTTTTTCTACTCGTGCAGGAAAAATGTGAAAGAAACATGGATGCAAAACTTGGACACAAACCTCAAGCCTGTTTCTCTCAATTTCTGGTCTCAGCAAATAACTTTTTAAAGGGCATTCTTGTGTTATTGAAGTGAGTTTTGTATGTATGACAAAACCTCATCTAAACCCAGGACAGCTGAGAGCGGCAGAGCAGGTGGTTACGGTATGATACAGCGGTGTGCCATTGACATAATTTATTTTGTCAATTTCAAAAATGTTGAATGTTAACTGTGTTTGCCAAACACTTGTGCCATAGAAGAGAACTGATGCCAGTACCCAAACCCTGACTCGAACGACCTCCGACACGTTTCATGTTCAGCCTCCTGCACCATTCCTGTCCGATGCTTTTCACGGGATTTGTCGCTACACCTGTAGGAGCAGCTGCACCCTGAAATGAACCCCAGATTTTTATTCTGCAGCTCAGTACAGATCAAGTTATCGCAACAATAAAGAAGCACACAGCAGCGGCGTCCGAGGAGAAGGAGGAGCAGTTCGTGTTATTTTTTTTTCGCTCATTTGTGCTTTAGTTTGTAGTGCAAGTAGCTTCCACATAATGCTGTGGTAACTCAGTCTCATCGTTTTCTAATTCTGAAATGTGTAACAGAGTTTTATGTGAACAAAAATGCAATATGAGTGATGTGAAAGATGAATGACTGCATACAGTAAGTGCCGATCAGTCGAAGAATAACGTGCTAAACGAGAAAAGCCTTAAGTATTTTTTTCAGACGTCTGTTCCAGTCCCAGCTGGAGTTTATCAGCTGTTGGATATGGGGGGGGGGAGGGGTAAATATGCAGATGGAGGTTAGAAATAGCAAATTTCGCTCTTATCGTACCCAAAGGTTTGCATCTTTTTGGCTAAGATAAATATACTTGATCCTAACATCAGCCATTACAAACACACACTCATTCATTCCAAAAATATTTTAATGTGCGTCCCTGTCAGCTGTGTCGAGTGTGTGTTTTATAGCAAAAGACTGGAAGAAGTGGGTGTGGCTTTTGTTGCAGAATGTCAGACTCATTTTGAGTGACTGAAAGTTGTTGGGTTACATTTGCCATTAAGGCAAATGTCTAATATGCTCATAACACCCAGACCTCCCATCGTATCACATCAACTTTCTTGCTTCTTTTTTCTATGTGCACAACCCTTCAGAAACAGGCATCAGCCTGCTGTAAGTATGTACAGATTTTGTGTAAATTATTGATTGAAGGATTAGACAACAGGAAGCAGAACACAAAGACTAAATCTGGTATATATGTGAACTTCTCCCTTACAAACAGAAGGTTATTTGCAAAGGATTTTCATGTGGAAACACTGGAAGGAGACGTGAAAAGCCTTGTAGACATTTTTATGGTATGAAACAACAGCAGGATGAGGTGAAGCACACGCCAAGCACAAACAGAACACAGTTATGCTCTGGTGACTGCGGAGATGTCACAGCCTTTACAGCAAAACGTTGTTAACATATGGAAAGATGCATTTGTCTGATATATGGTTAGTTGTCATTATTTTCATAACATGATTTCATAATGAATAAAAAAAGTTCTTTTAACTTGAAGCCTTTCTCTTCATTGGTTACTGAACGTCTGATCAGTTGTTCATAAAAAGTAAACCAGGTTTTAGGAGTGATGTTAAACAGTGAAGCACTTGTTACTGTTTCTAACAGATCTGTCCAATACATAAAGGAACCTATTAGGCTTTTCCTTATTTTATCATACTGTTACAGTGTTGGATAAAATAAATATGGCTAAGGTTTTCCACAGTGAGTGGCTTGTCTGTTATTGATCAGATCTTTGGTCCGTGACTCTCTAGATGCATTTTTTATATCACATTGACATTTAAGGGTAAATATTGTTTCTAACCATCCACATGCATGTCCAGAGACATGACCAGACTTGGAAACACTTAAAGAGGGAGAATTTGGTCTGTTTAACTAATCAGACAAAAAAGTCCCGATTACATGGGAGGAGAAATGATTAAAGACATCATTTAAGGTCCTCTTCAGATCTTTCTGCTAGCAAATATTTAAAAAAAAGGAAAACAAAACAAAAATTCCCCAATTGCAATGTGGATTTAAGTTTAAAGATTTTAAGTTTTTCAGAAGACAAAACTGGATACAAGTAAAAATCAGTATGCAGTAGTTATACTGTCTCTCAGCAAATAGTCATAACTTTAAAACACCAAAACTGCATATTTGCATTTACATTACAAGCATACAGTGAGTATATTGATCCAAGGCAGGTTTTTAACAAACAGTAAGAAATTCACTGAGTGACTGATTTGATCTCAGAGAGTAGTCAACAGTGTCAACAAGACTTACAAAGAACATCTGATGTTTTCATTTTCATAACACAGAATATATCGATATCACCAATAAGCAGCTTTAAATGACAAGAATCCAAAATAAAGTAATTTAGTACTTACAATTTTCTTCAGTGTGTTTACATATACATGCACACCATAACATAATAATAAGTACTGAGTATGAGAAGTGAGACAAATAAGTAAAATAAAAAAGTTTTCTTTTTTCTTTGTGATGTTAAATAATATTTCAGTTTTACACTTTACATTACATTACTTTTAACATGTAGAAAAACAGTTACACTGACCAATACCTTGTTTTAAATCCTTAATTCACATATGCTTCTATTTTATTAAGGAGCTCTGATGCCTTGTTCAGTGCCAGCATTTCATTCTCTGATCTGAATCGTCCGTTCGGTATGTGAGGATATGGATGGCAGTTGGGATATTGAGTCTTTTTGGGATCCACTCCGAGTGTCTGCAGGTTTTTCACAATCTCAGGCAGATCTCTCAGTTGGAGGCTGTAGCAGGAAACTTGTGCAGCAGTGGCTGAAATTGAGCTGCTGTTGGGGCGTTGTCCATTTCTTTTATAGCATGCTGCTATGAGAGACTTTTCCACTGCTTGATGGACCTTAAACAGACACCACTCTGTGCTCCCTCCACCAGTGTCTTTGTGAGCTGCATTGAGATCACAGCGAGCCTGTCTACACCAACGTCTGGCCTCTTCTCTGTCTGGCCTTGGGACATTTTCATTGTGGGTCCAGAAGTTGTAGGAATGGAAACCTCTATAGCCTCTAGAGAACCTCTCTCGACTATTTCTGTGATACCTGGCCTCCTGATTCCACTCTTCATAGAAGCCTCTGAAATTTGTATTTCTGCTTGAAAAGGTCGAGCCTGCAGCTTTGGGTTTGCTGAGCTCATCAATTTGATTCTGTAAATATTTGAATGCCTCATTGGCGAGAGACTGGCAATCCGGATTTTTGTCAGCGTGCCACCTGAGGTACAGTCTCTTAATGGCTTTGTGCCTCTCCTCCTCAGGAAGCCTCCAGATCTCTGCCAAACATTTATCAATTTCCCTTTTAGCTTCCTCAACAGAGGCTGGTAAAGAATTTGTTGATGATTCAGAAGAATGTGGCACAGCTCCTGTCAGTGGTTCCAGCTCCATGCAAGTGTTTTCTTCTGGTTTTAGCATCTTCTTCTGTGGTTCTGGCTCCATGCATTTCCTCCTTTCTGTTTTTACCTTCTTTTCTCGTTTAAACTGAAACAGATGAACACAGCTGACTTCAATGGGCTCATCTTCTCCAATATCTACTTTGTATCTCCATGAATATCGTCCATTGTGACCAGGCAGTTCTTCAACAATAACTGCATAAATATACTTGTCATCAATGCTGTAGCCAACATATTCCCCCTCTTCAAAGTTGTTGAGGACATTCATGTCCAAACAATCATGCCATTCTCCTGGAACTTCTGTCCCAGGGGCTGCTGGACTAAAAGAGGAACTTTCAGTTTCAGCACTGTCACGGATCTGATTTTTAGCCAGAGTTTTTCGAACATCTTGCAGATCATCACACATGAGGAGTTGTCCCAGCACTGGAAGATGAACCGATGCAATTCTGTTTCCTAAAAGAGCATTAATCTCTTTTGTCAATGTTGTAATGACTTCATTTATTACTTTGTGAGCCATGTCATCATTGTGCTTTAAGTAAAAGGTGCATCCTTGTTGCTCTCGTTTCACAAAAACATCAGTTTCTTCATCAGTTTTAGCAAGTGGCTGTTTATCGAGCCAGAGTGTTGTTTCCAACGTTTTGCAGCAGATAATTTGTATACTGCCAAAAATCTTCTCACATATGTTAGAAGCATCTTCTTGTGTTATTTTGCCTTGCAACTGCTCTCTAATAAGACAAATTAATCCATATTTAAAGGCTCCTGAGGAGAGATGTTTAGCAAACCATCCACTAAATTCACAGCCAGTCCCAAGTTCACAAAGCCGCATCTTTGATTCCACAACTCTTTCCTCTGTGAACTCAGACAGCATCTTTGGCTGAAACTTCTGAGGCAGCAGTTGCAACAGCTGATGATGCTTGTATTTGTCATTGCCCAAATGACATTCACTGAGTTTCTCAAGCAGCAGGAACTTGTTCTCCAGCGCTTCTTCCAACCTTTTGGTCTCAAACACTGTGTCGTTGTAGCAGAGTGTGGATGATGGGTATAATTTACCATCTACTGCAGGAAGATAAAGAGTCTCCACATATTCAAGAAGCTTCTGGTTTCCGTGAGTTTTGATTAACTTAAACAACTGCTCAACAGCTCGTTTCACAGTTATCAGCTGGTTCAAATGTAGTTTCTGTTTATCACAGGAATCAGCGTAAACTGCTGCCAAAACATTACAATATTGCTCTGCAGTAGCTTCGTTCTTCACACCAATTTTCTGAAAGAACGGTGCATACATTGCATCTTCTGGAGTAATCTTGTACAGATATGGTCTGAAGTCCAGATCATAGGAGAGTGACAGACACACGTCATCAACCGTCACAAGTTTTGTGTCTTTTTCAACCAACACAACAGGAAGACCAGTCAGCTGGTTTCCTTCAAATCTTTTTGCTTGCAGGTAAGCGTACGAACTTCTGAACACTTTAGCTCGTGTTTTGATCAGCTGGTCAGTTTCACATGGTGACTGACAGATGTTTCTTATGTTACTGGCTACACAGTTTGGAGGTGGTTCTTCATGAGCTCCAACATTTTTTATCATTTTCTGAAGACTTTGTGACATAAATGGTAGGTCTATAATTGGCAGGTCTATAATTGGCATTGAGGTCCAAATCAAATCTTGATGCTCTGGATTTTTGTCAATCAAAGAGCCTCTAATTTTCACAGTAGTTCCTTCAGCAGCAAATGGTTGGTGGTAGTTGGACAGTTCTTTTCGAATTATCACTGGAAAAATGAATTTGATGTCGGCAATGCTTTCCAGCAACCTTTGCTTTTTAGTTTTGATGTTGCATGCTTTATTTAAGACTTCCCTGAAAAGTAATGATGATTTCTGTTTCATGTCTTTGAGTCTTCTGTTAACTTTTGCTTCTGATTCAAGCTGGTACGCAAAATTTATTATCTCGTCCGCTGACACAACATGCTTCATTCCCAGTTCTCTGACCAGCTCTTTTGCTTTTTCTGTTGTGTAGTCATCTCCTTCACAAAGCTCAGTCCAAAATATCTCAGGAACAAATCTCTCGTGGGGCAACATTCGTTTGTACAGCTCCACACTCTCATCAAAGTAGTATGATGCAGGCTCCAGTCTACCTTGAGAACTGCGAATCAGTTTCACTGTCTTCAGTGAGGAGATGATAATTTTTCTTTCCTTCAACGAATAATCTAGTGACAGCAACAGTTTGAGGCTGTGAAGAATCTGTGTCTCTGTGAGTTGGTGTACAGCAGGCAGAATGAACTTCATGAAATACTCCAAATCATCCAGGACCTGAATGTTGAGTGTTTCTGACAGCATGTAGTTCTCAGAGTTCTGTTTGAGAAAGATGCTGCTGTTTTGGGGTAGGTTAAACAAATCTGGAAACATGACTGAATATTTGATTTTGAGGATGAAAACCTTCTTAGGTCCATCAATCCTCACTCGTTCACCATGTGTTGTTTCAAATATTGGTAAGGATTTGAGCTTCCTCACATACTCTTGGTTGACTTTGGACTTGGATAATCCTGATTGCAAGAACATCTGAAACTCCTTCATATCTTTATTTGAAAGGTGGGAAAACTCTGAGTGATTAATGTTGTACACTTGATCCAACACTGAGTTTTGATCATCTACATCGAGAAGCTCATGCTGTAGACATGAACGTACCTCTCGGTCCATTTTAGAGAAGAAAACATGATCAAAACTCATAAAACCAAGTTTGAAGAGGATGCCTGATATGTCTTTGTGTTTCTGTGAGGCAAACACAACACTTGACATGTGTTTCATTGTTTGCAGGAAGTGCTTGTTGTTCAACCTTGGACACACAACAGGTAAAATGCAGCAGTCACTGAAGAGTTTCCTCACATAATTTAATGTCAGACTGGACTCGTCATCTCTAGATGTTGGCGGTTTAATTTCATTCATTATGAACTTCCAAAGTAATTTTAGCCACTTCAATATTTTCTCATTGGGGACATGAAAACCACTGTGTGGATCAATGTCACAGTCATAAAGAAGGTGCTGAATTAATGGTTTCAGATATTTCTCTGAGTGGTGCAAAGTCATATTTCTGACAAGTTTTAATCTTTGAAGAAGGTCAGTGTGCCAAATGTTGATTTGATAATCTGCAAATTGAGCCTGGCAGTCAAAGAAGAGATCTTCATACCTTGATATCCACGTGGGTGTTTGGGAGTTGAAGAGTCTTAAAACTTTATCTCTTGTGAGAAGAAGTGGAAGGCCATTGAGTAAATTCTGTGTGACCTTTTGTGAGGAGAAATCTTTTAAACAAAAACTCAAGAGCTCTGAACATCTTTTCTCATCTTTGATCAAAGTGGTACTTATGGGTAAAGGCAAATCCTCATCTGTTTGGGTTGGATCATTTAGAGATTTTGCTCGTAGGAAAGTCTGCACAGTGGAGGGACTGACCTCTTTCACTTCAACCCCAGCAGATCTGAAACTTGTCCAAATCCTCTGCATGTTTGTGGAATAAGGAACCAGATTCATTCCAAGATCTTCCAAAATGTTATTCAGCTTGAAATTTCCCAAGGTTGTCAAGTAAGGTGCCTCAGTTGAGTCTGTTTCGCTGACATTACACCAGTCAAATGAGTATTCTTTAATTTTTTTATCTGCAATTTTCGGTGTATAGCTCTTCATCACAGGGATTACATCAAGGCCTTTTTCTTTCAATGATCTGTATACTTCATGTATCATTTCATGCCAGTCTGGGCAAACATCCTTAGACACAGTTGGCCAAAAACACAAGTATTCTGTACTGAAACATGAGTCAATAAATGCAAGGGAAACTTTCTTGACTGCAATGCTGCGCCTGATGTAATACAGGAGATCTGCATAAAGCGGAGCAATGACGTTCTGTTTCAAAATCTCATTCCAGTTGGATTTCTTACTCTTCCCATCTTCTTTCCAAAGGCTTCTCCTGGCAGAATCAACCTCAAAGTTTCCATTGACATGTACTGGCAGTCCAGTTTTCCCTGGCAAAGGAAGTGAACAAAAGGCTTCTCCTTTAAAATCCATGACGCTGGATCCTTTTGTGTTCACACGTGCAGCTAATGATGCTTGGGGAAGTTTGTCTGATATTTTCAAGAGAAAATTGTATTTGAAGGAGCCAAACTGTTCTGCAACAATCCACTTACTTTGTCTTTTATCTGAGGTGGAAATCACAGTTTCATAGAAAGTCTTGTGCGGTGTTGGTTTGTCTGATTGCAGTGCATTTTGTAAATGTTTGACAAAAGTATCTTTTTCTTCCCGACTTTTCTGTGGCAGATTTTTTTCAACCTCAAAGATGGTTTTAAGTCCTCCTGAATCTTCACTGATTTCATGGACTTTGATTTTGCAGATGTTTTTCAGAAAGAGAATTAGTCCTTCAGGATCTTCAGACAGGGCAGAGCACAGTTCTTTCATGTCACGGTCAGTGACTCCTTGCTGTGATATTTTGGAGGTATTTGCATTTGTACCCATTCTCAGAGGTAATCTGAACATGGTGCCGTCTTTAAGAGAAAATTTGTCTGGAAGAAAGGATTTGTAGACATCTACGTACATTTCTTTGAAAGTGTCAGTTAGTTTATAGCCAATGCCATATCGTTGGTTATTTGAATGATTTTCAATGTATTTTTGATTGGGGTCAGAAATGCAAAGTACTCCGTCTCCTGTAAGGATCGAAGGACAGTCAGTCAGATGGTAAACAGAGTTGAATCCAACTCCGTACTTCCCTATCTTCCCTGGGGTGTTGTGCTTTCCTCCCTCTCCCAGCTGTTGAATTCCCTTAATGTCAGCATCAGAAAACACTTTGTTGTTGAACACACAAAGTGCTGGACCCTGGAGATTGTTCCATTTCTTCCCAAATGTTTTTACTTTCCCATGTTGTCTTTTGTCCCAGATGAAGTGAATTTCTGTTGCTTCTGCATCATCAGCATTTTGGATGAGCTCTTTAAGGATATCCTTCTTTGATGGATAGGCTGAAATTATGTTTTTAATACGAACAGTGAGTTCTTCCTTCTGTTCAAAGTCAAAAGCTAATGGTGAAAGGTCATCAAATGTGTGATTTTCCAAAGTATGATGCCTGGTTGTTTTGATTCCAAGGTGGCAAGCCATCACACGTGGGATATTCTCGTGACACAATGTGACACCTGAAGTGAGTGGCATCCATGGGCTGTCATTGTAAAACAGCTCACTTGCAGGTTGCAAAACTCCACACTCATTGGGTATCAGACAGTCATCCGTGATTTTCAATTTGGCTTCAAATATCCCTTTATTTAAAATTGTGAGGCAAACTGAGAGATCACTCTTGGGCAGAGGCTTGTTTCCATGTTGAGCATGTAAATCCTGCAACACAGTTAGAAGCTGAGCAATCGTGAATTGCTTTGCAACACCTATACTTTTCCAAAGATTCCTGAAGCTCATGAAGGCAGCTGGAAGTACATGGAGATAAGGTTTTGCTTCAAATTGCCCGTTCTCAGCTACACGGTCAACATTCACAAATGTATCGCCAATGAGGATGAATGGAAATGAATATGCCCAGTGTCCAATGTAAGTGGTGTTTCCAGAATAACAGATCCACTTATCCAGAAACTTATAACACTCAAATGCAATTTTGTAAAGCATGGAACTGTCAGTGGAGTGGGCTTGTTTGCTCACTTGGTGCAACTGCTGAAGCACCATCTGTACTTTTGGAGTGCTGTGAACTCCTAAAATCTGTAGAACTGGATCTGTGTTGTGTATGTTTAAATTAGTATGATCCAACACTGGTTGTGTCATGTTAACGAGTAGAGAGCATTTGTCAATAAAAACATCAGTGGGCCTTTTAAGTGTTACATTTCCTTCCATTTTTGTATCACCAGGTGAATATGCTGGAAGAAATGCAGTTGTCCTCAGTGTTTTCCAGTGCTGAGAGTCGTTATCATGAATGTGATTCTTCATCAGTTCAAATAGGCACTTCAAGTGGACAAATGCTTTCTTTTTGTCAATGCTCCAGGTTTTATTAATTGTGCCCGCTTTCTCTGTGATATCTTCCAATGGGAGATGGTCATTTGCCATACCGAGTTCCAACAAACGCTGAATCCTTTTTGGAGATCTGAAGTAATTTTCGGATCCACCAAGCAAGCGTCCCTCTTTTGGTTCAAAAAGACAGGCCACTTTCCCTGTAGGATTCACAAGTTTCCTGACATGTTGGAGCTGTCCACCCTTTGTGGGTATGCATGGATAGCAAAGCAGCAGATTGTCAATTTCTTTAACATTAACATCAATAGCATGCAGCACAAGGATATCTCTACTCGTCGAGTCCATTGTAGTTAGGTTACTGAACACTGCTTCTTGGTAGAACTTCTCCCAGTTCCAGGTCCTGTTTTGTAAAACCTTTTCTAGGCCAGCCTGTTTGAAACTATTTCTCAGCCACAGTGGAAGAGGAACAACATGATTGGGTCCTTTTGCATATTTCTGGCACACTTGAACTGCAAGATTACCAATTTCCTCATCGTTTTCAATGCTCTCATGTAGAAATATGACATCGTTCACTGAAAACCATTGTTCTCCATCACTAAAGAGCTCTGGACCAACAGAGTCATCAACAATGGTTGAGTAAAGTGCATCCACTAAAGGCTTGAAAGTTTCAGTCACTTTCTCTCTATCAGGCCAAAAGTTGTAATAACAGTAACTCACCAGCTGCTTATCTTCTGACATTTTCTTTAGTGCCTTGAGTACAGTAACATATGCTGTCACTACTGGATCCTGAAGGAGAGCTTTGTTCCAGTCATTTTTCACTCCAGTTTCCCACAGAGATTTTCGGTTGCTTGTCACCGCAAATGTGCCATTTACATTGACAGGAAGACCCGTGTGAATGGGAAGAGGAAGGAAGCAAAAGGCCTGTCCAACAAGATCTGATTGTAATGTGGTGAATTTTCCAGTTTCTGGATCATTTTGCAAAGGCACAGCAATCCCTCCAATGGGCAAAGAGAAACTGGCTTGCTTGTTTTTGTGAAGGGCCATTTTCAAAGACTCATCTGTCCCAAAGCAGTTGTACAGGAGCCAGAACTGAACTTCAGTTTCATTAGACTGCTGACTGGATATTTTCACAATGATGAATGTAAAGCAATCAATCACCTCTTTGCATTTACAATCAACTTTCATCAGTGATTCCTCAGCATGACGTTGCTTGGACACACTGGTGTCATCAGGAATCTCCATTGCACTCACAGTGGTTTTGGACACAAAGAAGATGGTCTCCATTTCAGTATCTCTTGGTGGAGTCGATCCATTGTGTGGGATATTTTGGAGGGATAACGTAATGATGTTCTTCAAAAAAAGAAGAAGAGTTTGTGAATTCTTAGAAAAGAGATGTTGAAAATCCAAGATATTGTGTTTTTGATACACTTTTGGGCTTATTTCTGATTTGACAGCCTCTTCTTCACTTCGGAAAGGTAGTTTGATCAGAGTGCCTGGATAAGGATCAGGAGGACTTTTTCGGGTAAAAGTACAGTCAAAAATGTTTTCATATGATCCAAACTGACCAGGAAAACAACGAAAGAGTCGCCGTTGAGAGAGATCCAGCTTGATTCCAGGATTTGACTTATATTTGATATGCTTTGTGAGATGAGTAACATTTGGATCAAGTATGAGAAGAGTGTTGCCACTAAGGATGGAGGGGACATCTGTCACATGATACACAGTGTTGAATCCAAGTCCAAACGTTCCAATTTTTTCCACTTGGTTCTCCTTCGAGGCTGAGCCAACTCTGACAATATTTTTCCAATCCTCTGCTGTGAACTGCTCATTATTGAAAGCCCAAAGACAAGGTCCCTGACAAAGAGCCATGTCAGGGTCAATCAGGCTTTTAGGGGCATCTCTGTGTACTCTGAAATCCACCAAGAACTTGCAAACATCTGCCCCAGCATCCGCTGCATTCTGGATGAGCTCTTTGAAGATGTCACTGTCTTCATCGTACTCTTTAAGAATGTTTTTTATTCTCATTGTTATTGGTTCAGACTGTCCACACTGCTCTATTCCTATCTCCTCTGGATCAAGGATGTGGGTACTGAGAAAACGAATTTCCAGCCATTCAGCCGCTGCTTTTGGGATTTCCTCATGTATGACATAAATTTCCTCTTCTCTGCAGTTTAGTTCTTTTAGTCCATTTTTGCTTACATCACAGAAAAGAGCTGTTGATCGTGGTTTAAGAGTAAAGTTTCCTCCCTCAGCAATAACTGGCACTGGGATGTCATCCTGAACTGTCTTCTTCTCTTTCCAGAGCCAGTTGAGAATTTCTATTGACACTTTGACCTCTGAGGAACTTGCAAATGGCAGCTGTCTTGCTTCAACAGTTTGCTGGACAGAGTACAGAATGCCCAAAATGTCTTCATTGGAAATATGTCTGTGAAGGTTCTCAGTCATCCAGGTCATCGTAGTCAAAGGAGCTTGCAAAGAAAAGCGTCTGGACTTCTTTAAGTTGCTTGAAGACGTTTC